CCTGGGCTCTGAAAGGGGCCAGCAACTGCAGTGTAAAGGCAAAACCAGCCCTCACACATGCACCTGCACCCTGAATCCTCCCGGATCCGCTTCTGCCAATGACCTCATGGCCCCCAAGAAGGGCGGAAAGGAGAATTCCTGTTAGGCAGAGGCCGCCTCTGCCTCCGCTCGCCCTCCTTGCTGAGGCGGCACCGCGGGCTCGGGCTGGAGCCTAGAAAGCAGCCTCTGCAGAGCCAGGCTAGGGGCTCCCAGAAAGGCCACATTTCTCAGAGATTCAGTAATCAGTGGTTTTGTGATGTGAACTGCGGTTCCTTCAGGAACCAGGGCCGATCCACCAAACTTGGTCATATCTAGGGCTCTACTTACACCGATCAGGTTTTAGTCCTTTAATGGTAACGAAACAACACTTTTTTCCAGCCGCTGTGTTATTTCCTTTTCTCTTTACCTATTGTTTTGTAGAAAAGATTTTTTGTTCAGCCATACCACTTAGAGGTCTGGATTTTTTTTTTTTTCAAGTGACAAGGCATTTCAAAACCCCAACAGGTCTGTGGCAAACTAACATGGTAAAAACGTGAACTTTTTAGCATAATAAGACATGATCTCACATTCTGCGCTTAACAAAATATCCTGAAACCAGATACTTATGCAAATGTTAAACTTCTCCTCTCCCCATTACATCTTAAGCAATTCATCAACCATTTTTTTTTTTTAAGTTCCTGTCACACAAGAAGAAAACATGGTCAGGGTGAGGCAATTTCTCTTTAAAGTGTGAAATTAAATTTGTGAATAATAATAAGATTTTGCAATGGGAATTCTGAGAGGATGTCAGCAGGAGCGTCTGTCCTAACAAGCATTCAATGGAGAAAAGCAATTCAGATGACTAAAATGTGAGAGACTAACCCAAAATGACAAAGAAGCCTACATTAAAAGCCTAGTTACTTCCTAGCACTATGACTAATCACAGTAGTGTGGTCCAGCGCTCAGCATAAACTGCATGTCCCTCTGTGCTAAGTTCACTGAGGCCGTGAAACCAGGACAGCTCCCAGGCTCCATCCCAGCACGGAGCTCCCAGGCACATCCAGCATGGAATTCAATTGGGAGAGGAACATGCTCGGTCCCGGCACACTCGGCTGCTGCTCCCTTGGGAAGGGCGGGAGCGGGGAGCCTTGCTGGGCCGGGATCTCCATCCTGCTCCGTGAGCCGCCTGGTCTCTGCATGCCCTAACCCAAGCTCCAAAGTCCAATCCGCAAGGAGGCAGGGTGCAATTGGTAGCCATCCGAGCAGGAACGTGCCGCCCTCACCTCAGGCTGCCCAGGCTATGAGGAGAGGGAAGACCCCAGGAGAATCGACAGGGAGATAGGAGGGCTTTCCTGGAAGAGCAGCCACTCCAGCACGAAGCTCTTAAGGAGAAACAAGGTTAAAAAGAAGAAAGCAGCAGATCTGAAAGGGAACCCTGCAAACGACCCAGCTAGGAAACAGGGTGTTGAAGCCTGGGAAGACAGCGTCTGCCAGAGCAGTCTCTTTTCTGTGGCACCTCTCACTCTGTGCAAGACTCTGGGGCAGGGAGTCTCACCATTTATATGGTGAGCCTCTGCAAATGTTTAATAGTTAGCTGCACCATCAATACGCAGTCTCCACTATCAAGAGAAGACTTTATGGTTGGTGAGGCTTGAATGAATCATTTGTTTAACTACATATAAAAACCCAAGCCAAAAAAACAAACAGGACACATCATTTGGTTACTATTCTAGATACAAAAATGTCAAGCATTGCTAGTAATTTCATGCCACAAATCTCATTGTTATTCTGGTATGTGATGTTGCAATACCATTTATTTAATATTAAATTTAATACTAAAATTGATTTAAGCTTGTCTAACCAGTAATACAATATGACTTTGACTTGCTATTTGGATGCAGATTTTGTTTTCTCGTAGTCTTGTTTTTATTTATCTCCAGCTCTGTTTTGAATGCTGGCTATGAATCTATCATTAGAGAAAATTGTTGCATCATATAAATAAGGAAGCAGTAAATTTGCTTATATAATTATGTATTTATGTGGTTTCAAAATCAAATATTTATCCTGTATGTTTGGACTGGGCAGACTAGCATTTAAGAACTAATGTTATTAGTTTTTCTAGATCACAGTACAAAGGTAAGTCCTTTCAATCTACTAGGCCTATATGCATAGACGAATCTGTGCCTTCTAAAAGAACTTCTCAAAAGGAGAAAAAAATAAATAGTGACCTTCAGTGTAACTTCATATTTATAACATCTTTTTAGCCAGTGATTTACGGATGTGCCATCTCATCACTTAAAGCAGCAAGAAAGTTTTCAGACCTTACATGATTGTGAGGAGGGCAGTGGGTGAAAGCTGTTCCACTGAGATTGGAAATGGGGAAGATGCTTTAAGCAGAGAGAGCCATAATCAAAGCTCCTGCAACGTTTTTCATCTGTTGAGCTCAAGAAACTTAGACAGAAAAGTCTGTAGGTAGGGAATGTGCAGGTACAGGTGTGTAAGTCATTAGCTACACATCTAGATGGGTTTTTTTTGGAAGCACGGAGACGTAAAGAAGCTGGGTTGTGATTCAGGTTACACTGCTGCTCTGGAAAGACGAGGCCTTTGCAATTGTAGCGTTTCTTTTGGAGGGGACAGCAGTTTCGAAGCATCAAAAGCAGGAACATGACAACAAGCCAAGGACTTGGAGCAGAGGGACGTCCTCCATAGGAAGGCTGCCTGGCTCTGACTCTGCGGCGCGCCGGGCAGAGACCCGCTTGTCTCTGCGTCGTCCTCGCGGCTGCTAACGCAGCAATCGCTGCGACGGGGAAAGCTGGATGCACCAAAGGGCCTCAACTGCTCGACTGGACCTTTCCTCCCCCAATTCTTACAGCAGAATCGATGGCAGTTTCAGATTGAATATATATTTTCCATCTGCTGAATAGTTGTTTTTGTTCGTGCTGTTTGAGGTTAGCAATGCACGTACTAATCAAACCCACTACTTCCTTTCTCGTAAAACCAAAACAAAGCTTCATGTTACTTTCAGGGACAGCATCTGGGATCGGCGCTATATATACACACACTGATTCTGTGTGGGTTCAAACACTTCGAAGATTCGCTATCCTGAAAGGTGTTGCCTTCTTCCCAGCCCTCCTGAGACTCCCAGTTTGGCCCAAAGGCTGCAGGACGCGGCCGCCCTCCACCCTGGCAGCGTCTGTCCCAGCGCAGGGATGCTCTCAGTACTGCTCACCGTGGGCCTGCTCTGCACAGCCGCCGCCGGCGCCGGCGCCGAAGGTGGGTAGATGAAGGAGCAGGGCATGGGGGTGCCTACATTTTCTCAGTTTCACCTCTTCGCAGGACAGGGACTGCCAGGAGAGGGAGAGCGGGAGGTGACACGGGACCTCCCCACAGGAGCCCTGCGTGGCGGACTGTGAGGGACCTGGAAAGCCAGGCACTCGAGAGCAGCAGCGTCTCTAGAGATGCTGGGTGGGATTCAGGGACGCTCAAGAAGGAGAAAAGGTTTTGCCAGATCGGGCCTTGAGAGCGGAGCTGTAGGATGCGGATAACGTGGGGATGGAGGCTTGGGCGCGAGGAGAGATTCCGTTTCCTCCCTCCCAGCTTCTTGTGCTGCAGAACTACAGATAAGCCCTGCCTAAATACACATGGGTACCAAATGGAATTGAACAAATACTGTTGAATCCCCACAGCTTACCAAGGCAAAAGCCTTCCCGTGGTATAGCGATATAGAGCAGAGCAGCTGCGAAGAGCAGCCAGCGGCGTACACGGGAGGCTGGTGTTCCCTTAAGGTCTATAATTGCGTTTGTGCAGCGTGTTTTTCAGGCTCTGCTGTGTTGCTGAATTGTGGCTGAGAATTTCTCAGTACTTGTCTGGGAATTTGTAGTTGAAAGTGAGGAGCAAAAAGATCAGAAACGAAAATATGCACACGGGTTTTCCATTCAGTTTTACTGGTACCCTATTGCTTCTGTTGCATATTCCAGACAAGCTGTTTATTTCTGTACATCGGAATGTTCATTTTCAGCAGGCAGAAACTGTGGCTTGAATTTCTAATTTAAAAATTCAAATTTCAGCCTTACGTCGGAAGCATCTGAGGTTTTTTTTTCTTTCTTATATATATGTTAAGAAGTTGTGTTTTGTTTGTTTAACCTTCACCGAAGCACACAGACTATTGATCCAGTCCACAGGCCACGCTACCTACTATTAAAGCACAAAAAAAGACTGCTGAGTTTTATAATATCGTTCACTGCAATGAAAGTAATTCTTCACCATTTTTTTCAGTATATTATTGCAGTCCCGATGTGAACTGAAGTCCTGGGAGTACTTTTTTTTTCTTTTTTGGAAGGATTTAGCAGCATTTCTAGGAATTACCCATGGATGAGGGGAGGTGATAAGACTTCTTTGTTATTGCATAGATTTCCAGTAACAGTTCAGCGACGGCTGCAGAGCATTCCCTGACGGCTCATTGCCATCCATGCTCTGTGCTTCCCTGCAGTGATGGAAGTCACTCAGCCGGCGATGGTGCTGGCCAACAGGCAGGGAGTTGCCAGCTTGGTCTGCAAGTACAAGCACATCGGGAATGCAAAGGAGATTCGGGTGACGCTGCTTAAACAGACGGGTGACCGGTTCACGGAGATCTGCGCTTCAACCTACACCATGGAGCTGAAAATGTTCAGCGTGGAGGAGGTCATTCAGTGCCACGTGAGCCCGAGCCGAAACAACGTGACCCTCACCCTGACAGGCCTGCAGGCCAACGACACCGGCCTTTACATCTGCAAGATGGAGCGGATGTACCCTCCACCCTACTTCATGAACACGGGCAACGGCACGCATCTCTATGTCATTGGTAAGCCAAGCGCTTCACTCAGCTCTGCTGGGCCCAGATTAAGTGAGCTTCCAAGTCCTGGCCATAAGAAGTGAGGTTGAATCCTGAACTGAGCTTTGAGATCCTAGACTAGCTCTTACTTCTTCATGATCTCCTGGCAGTCGCCTAAGGCAGGTACATTTACAGCCCTGGGATGCATTTACAGTTGCACGGAGGCTTGGCAGCGCAAGCAATACCACATAGTGCGTACGTATGTTCAGGCAGTTACCTATGTAAGTGCAGACACAGCAAAGGGTAAGCTGTACGTCTCCCAAAGACGAGGCCTGTTTTCCCTGGAGGCTGAGTGCTCGGGGGCTTGGAGCTCAACACTGGTAGTATCCTAAGGAAGCTCGTTCTAGTAAAGAGCAGTATAGAGGCTGGTTCATGGGATGTAGGCACTTCCTTATGAGACTAATGTACGATATGATTTCTGTGACGTTCTAGATCCAGAGCCTTGTCCAGACAGTGCCATATATCTCTGGGTATTAGGAGCAACTGCCTCAGGATTCTTTCTTTACAGCATCATCATCTCAGCTGTCGTTGTGGGCAAAGCGGTAAGTCCCGTTGGATCAGCCCTGTCCCATTGACTCCCCTTGGTGGAGTACCCTCCCTGTGGCAAGCAAGAAGCAGTAAGGACAGGGAGGGTTGTTGGGACCCAATGCATTGATTGGGTCCAGTTATCCTTTGGGAACACAGTGCAGCCACGACCAGGGAGAGCAAGTGGCCTTGCTGCACCTACCATTTAAACCAACCGGAGTACCAGAGAGCAACTGAGCTTACAGAGTTCTCCACTCGTGGCTGGAGGTGGCTGCACACAAAGGGGTCCGTCCACATGTGAACCTGGGCTGTCCCCGCAGTGGTGGGCTGCAGCGGTCACCGTCTGTTAGAAACAACCCCAGTGCCCAGCTGAGAGCCAAAGCGCTGCTGGAGGGCAGGGCTCTCATCCTAATGCCCCTGTAGTCCCTGACTCCCACAATCTGAGGGGATCCTGTACAAAGGCAGGGGATCAGGAAGGTGATGAGGAAGCCTCCTCCTCAGTAAAGGCAGCAAGACACTCAGCACTTTTCTCTGAGAGAAGCCAGACATGATTATCTCTGGCTTATTTTGCTTTCTTCCCTTATTTTACAGATACAGCGAAGGCGGCGGCTCACTACGGGGGTTTATGTGAAAATGCCTTCTGAAAAGACAGAGAAAAAGGTGATTCCGTTCCATATCACTGTTAACTGAAACGTGGAGAGAGGGAGCAAGCCCACTTGCTAGCTGGGGTGGAGAGTCTGCTAATTGACTTAAGCTAAAGAAATAAAATTAATTTTCTTATTACAAAGCTGTATGGGAAGGAGAGAGAGTATTCTTTGCAACTTCTATGGTTTGGAGGAGCATAAATAGTTTATGCATTAATATTTCAAGGTTAACTCTGTCACATAAAAATGGTCACATTAGGCCATTGATTCTCTGAGTTGTATTGTAACAATATGTAGTCTATATATATATATATATGTATATGTATAGCATTAAGACCTGTTGCTGTCACAGTCGAACACCTTATTGTCCCATTCCCCCTGCCTGCGGATGAGAAACCCAAACACTATTGAGATGAGACACGGGTGTCACGCCAGGCCACGGCGCAGGTGGTAGCGCACATGAACGCCGGTGTCCCCGGCCACCACCGCTCGCTCCCGGCGCCATCCCGGCATCCGTGCTCTGCATCCCCATGGATGCATCGCCTGGATCCGGCGCGGGCGGCTCCCGTGTCCCCGCAGAGCCGCACTGGGGGTGGCTGATGCCACCTGGGCCGCTGGCCGGGAGGGCTGCCAGCCGCTGGGGCCGACTCCAGCTCTGCTGGGGCTTTGCCTTTTACACATGCTAAATTAGCATCTACCCCAAAGGCACAAGTCTGTTGCTGTGTGTAACTGAGTCTGTTTTCCATGAAAATACTCATGATGTATAATCTTGTTTATTAGGTATGTACCACTCAATAAAAACCTTGAAGCTTTGCCCAAATTCAAGTTTATTTCTTATTCACCGCTCTCAGAAGAGACAGGAAGTGGCTACGTGTTAGAAAGCAGTGATGACAAGTTGAACCTTCACCCTCTGACCCTGCTTTCTGCCCATGTGAGGAGCCAGCACGCTCATGCCATGAGCTCCTCCTGCAGCTCTGCTCCTCAGGGGCACCATGAACATGAGGAGACCCCACTTGCCTAGCGAGCATTGTGCGAGGTGTGTCTGAGGTCCTACCAGCTGCCCCTCCAGCAAAGTCACTCACAGAAGGTGACTGACGATTCTGGCTGCGTCTCCTGTACATGTTTACACAAAAAGCTAGTCCTAGTTTCAAATCCTCTTTTCTTGGTACCTCTCTGACACTCTCACTCACTAAAAGGTAGCTGGCACACAAAACTCCCAGAGCTTAAGACTTTGCTGCTATCTACTCCTTGGGCTCTTCACCACCAGAATTCCAGCTTGCAACCAAGCTGCTCTGCAGCACCTACCACCGCTCCACAGCTGTGGACACATCTTCAGGACCCAGGGTCTCACACCATGTTCCTGCAGGGTCTTCAGCACCTGGGACATCCAGGCTCCTGGTTCTCTTCTCACCACAGAGTGAAGGAGCTCAGATATGCTGAACCTCATAGCTAACTGCAAATCATAAATCTCTCTTTTTTTTTTTTTTCCCCTTATTTTTCTCTTCCTGGACAATTCCCGCACACTGAGTCCACGAGGTTGCCTTTCCTCAAGCAATCAACAAGGAGCTCAGGCAAATGACTTTCAAAGCCTGTCCCTGTCTGGTGAAGGGAAGCTGTGGACCTGTGTCTACAATCTCATGCCCTATGGCCACAGCTGGCAGCAAATCTGTGTTACTGCAGAACTACTGCATATTCCAATTCCCCTTAATTTCTGCCAGGAAAGCTGAGACTCACTAGCCCTCCTGCATCTGCCTCGACTAGTCACTCCAGACACCAGCACTGCTTTGAGACAGGCAACCTGACAGGACCTTACTGCAGTCACTTCTAGCAAGTGGGGTCAGTGGAGCAGTTTTTCCTAAGCAGCAGCACTTTGTGTTTGTGCCCTTTGCACTTCAATAATTCCTGGCAAACTGTTCATTAATTATCCTATTGGAAATGCCTTTGCCCAAATTCTGTGGCTGTTCTGAAGTTCTGTAGTCAGTAGCTCTCCACCCAGCCTTTTCCCACCTTGTCCATATTGCTGTGATGCTGAATTTTCCCTGGCTTTCCTCACAGCTGTGCCAGTATTCCCGGAGATAAATATTACAGAGGAACACTTTCTTCTTGTTCTAAGCTGGGCTCTGCTTTCAGTTTTCTAGCAGGGTAATAGTGCACTCAGCTGATGTAGCAATGAAGACCAAAGTGAGTTTTCAGTTCAGATTTTATTGACAACGATACTTTTAATATTTATATCTGACGCTATAGAGATGAGCGCAGCCTAAGTGTCTGCAGAGATACCAATGCTTAACTCTATATAGGTTCATATAGGAGCTATTTCTGAACAGAGCAGAGCCCGGACCTCAGAAAATTTCCATTCCTCTGATGCCCTGTAATGCCCTCCAGGACCTTGAATGCTTTTCTTTTTCCTGATGCATCTTTCCATGATCACACCACAAAAAAAATGACAAATGAAACTTGGATATGACTTTCTGTCAAATCACAGCAGTACTAATACATGAAAAATACACACTATATGTCAGTGTACTTCCTAGAAAATGCAGTAAAATGGAAAATTGTGACTCTTTTTCTGGAAAGAATGTGAATAGCAGAGGCTAAAAGAATTGGTGTCAGAGGTATGTTCATTAGAATGGGGAATTTAAAAGTATGACCAAATATCTTACCTGGACAGCTCAATAATGAGGCAGAATTGCTCAGTAAGGTGCAGGAAAAGTCTCTTTTCAGGCGCCTTCAGGTACCAGCCAGGAGATACGTCAGCCTATATGAGAAAGAGAGACAGTGAGGTCCAGTGAGTGGATATTCAGGATACACTTCTGTGTGTACAAACATACACACACACACACTCAGATTCTGCTTTCATTTTCATCTACTCTTTTATCTGCTCAGTTTTTCTCTTTGCCATTTTCAATAACCAGAGTCGTGGCTGCTACAGAAAACCACTTGACAAGAGCCTCCCACCCAGCTACCCTGTGAGCAGGCAATAAATGGTCCATGGTTTTTGCTTTAGAGATGGTCAAGTGAAATAGCCACACTACTGCTGACTCAGGCCTTGAGGTCTTTAGGGAAAATTTGGTCATCCTGTTTTCTGCTGATTCTTAATAAATAAAAAAAACCAACCAAGCAACACTAGGCTATGCAATAGGACACTTCTATTGACCTGTTTCTCCCCTCAGTGCCAATGAGACGTTTGCTTGAGATCAACCAGGACTAGTATCTCATCCTTCAGCAGCCAGTTTCCCTTGGCCAGGCAATTCCTGGCCAGATGGGACAATCTCTGGGCCAGCTCTGACCCGTGACCGAAGAACCCTGTGTCTAGAAAAGGACACATACGTAAGAAGCAGGTGAAGCAGCTGAGAGTGCTGCCATGAGGTCCAAAGCAGAGAGGGCTGCTGCGCAGCAGAGAGCTTCACGCATTATCAGGAACAATTTATTCTTGACATCTGTAAACTATGTGCTTGTTTGAACAAATAAATATGTATTTTGCACTGGTTCCTATCACACCTGGTGCGGGCCCTCTCTGTCACCCTGGCACTGTGATGTGGATCGGGCTCCTGGGAAGGGCAGGGATGAACCTGAGAAGTTTTTGGAGCTGCACAGAAGGAGAAAGGAAGCACATTTCCACAGTGCCACTCTCTGCTGCTCCTGCAGGAGCCCGAGCTCCACCTGGGCACTGCGGTTCCCCTGCTGCTCCACACAGATAAGGGCATTTACATGAGTTGGCTGTCATCTCGTGCAAATGCTCTTTGGGACTGATGAAAGAACGGTCCCAGTTCAGGGTACTTCAACATTGGATATCAAACAGGAGGGGTGAGGAATTAAGCTGTTTGTCTGAACAAATTAACAGCTACTGGGAGAAGACCTTAGTAGCTGCAGTGGGAGAAGGAGGAGAGGGGCTTGTTTTATAAATTTAAACCGGTTTTATACTTTTAGGGTGTTTGCTAAGGTGACAAGTGAGGAAGAGCTTGTCGAGGTGACAAAACCTCATTGGGAATCATTAACAACAACTGCTGGTGCGAGCTGGAAGCCCAAACAACAGCTATTCACACTGTTTGCCTATTCTTTCCTTCTTTTACTCTAAAAATGAAGATTTCTTTGTAGTTCCACAGTCAGCAATCTTAACCATGCTCATGGTATTCTACCCAAATGAATGTTTTTTAGTGGTTATGAAGTGACAGTTGAGAAAAGGAGTTCTCAGTTTCTTCACCGACAGTTTTTCTCTTTAATCTTCTTCAGGCAGTTTTTTGCTTTGAAACTTTAATTTTTGAGCTTTAATTTGCTCAGTTTGATCTGCTTCACTCGCTGCTCTGGCCTGGGGAGTGCTCAGACAACACGGCTTCTCTTCTGCTCCAAGATCCACCTGGTCATGGCAAATGAGGTCCCCAACTTTCCAAGTCACTTGTGTTCGCAGGAGCTGTGACAGGCAAGCGTCTCGCAGCACAGGTGGTAAGACAGAGGCATTTTTTCAATATAAATATATTGTAAACTGAAACTAAGTATGTGAGGTTGCAGTCAAAATTAAGTTTCATCTGGGTTAATTCTGTTTTAGTGCAATATTTATACTTCCTTGCAAACAAATATTGTATAATGCTTCTTTAGACAGGAGTAAAATTGATAAGGAAGTTAATCTTACTTATCAGCTATGATAAAACCAGGTCAGTAATGAAATATTTGTTGATCAAAATAGCAAATAGTGCCATGCCAAATAACTGGTGGCTGCTTCTTTTTGTTAAAAACAGTTAATTGCGTTTTTACACACCCACATGTAGGGTGGCCAATAAAGTGATCTTTTTTATCTACGCGCCTGCAGTTGCACAGAGTTACCCTGCCGGAGTGAAGGAGAAGCAGGCCAGAACTCTGAAAAGGCAAGTTTCAGGCAACCAAGCAGTCTTGATGCTGACTAAAAACTGCTTTTTGAGGTATTCTTTTGTTTCTGGGTGAAGGCAGGGACAAGCAGCACGATGCTTTGCTCTCCCTAGGGCTTGTGCAGGTGGTAAATGCTGCAGTCCCTGTGAAAACAGCCACTGAAAGCTGCTCTGGGCTGGCCCGTAGCCTAGCAGAGACCTCCCCGCACGTGCAGTGCTGGGGGAAAGCCCAGGGCTCTGTGGCAAAATCTGCTAAATCTTTTGTGCTTTTAAGGCTCTGTCTTCCTACCTACTCGGTAGCCCCTAGTTCCTGCCCCGGCATCGCTCCTTCATCCGAGGCAGAAAGAAGATCCCAAGATCCCAATCCCTAGAAATTGCCCTTCCCTTTGCCTGTGGCACACACAGCTCTAGGCTACAGCCTGGAAACATGACGCCTGCTTTAACTTACACCTGTTATACACATTAAAAACCTTTGACGCAATAAACGGACAAAACCATAGAAATATTGGGGAAAATTAAAACAAGGACAAAAAAAAACCCCAAACCAACCCTACATCTGAAACTCCTATAAAATGTGGTACAGTAGCAGTACTTAATCAAGATCAGAAAGCAAAACAGTTCATTTCTGTGTAAGATATCAAATCCTTCTGGTAAGTGACACTCTGGAAACATTTGATAGCTTCATAACTGGCTGACTTCATGTTTTACATGCAGGAAAGATGGCTAGAAGAGCAGAAATCAGCAAAACAAGCTGGTTTCATAGCTGAGCTTTGCTGAGGTGTCATGCCGTGTGGGTAGCATCTATAGGAGCTCTCTCACTTCTAATTCTGTAGCAAAGATGACTGTCTGCTTCACAAATTAATAATAAGTTCCTTTCTTTATAATAGCAAACTAATGCATTATATCCTATTTTATGGCTACTTGTCTTCTCTTTAAAACAGTGCCTTATTTAGGCTAAACGCAGACTCTTAGCCTGTGTGCAATAAAATAATGTCATTACACTAATTTTATGGATTGGTTCCAAACTCACGCAACCTACGCCCCCTCCTATGACCCGCTGGCCAACACCCTGGGCCAGCTCCTCACATTAGCCTCATGCTTCTCTTGCCGTTTCCAGATCACCTTCCCGTGCTGTCATTTCTTCTGTTGGAATTAAGACAGCCCAGGCTTCCGCACGGCTCGTGTTAAACGCAGCCATCAATCCCGGCCGCGAGGTCTGGAGGGCTCCTCCCCGCGCTCGCTGCAGCCCCACGTCTCAGAGGCCCCGCTCGGACACGCACCTCCAACATCCGCCTAACGGGGCTAATTGTGGGCATCTGGTTCCTCCCTGCTCTCCGCTCCTTCCGCGGGGCCAGACTGCCAGTGTCCTGCCCAATTACCATGGGAAATGGCCAGGGATGAGTGAGGGGACAGCAGCTGCTTCCGTGCCCGCCCTGCTCCGCGTGTTCTCCACCCGCACACACAATGCACTTTGGGTTATACGTGGTATTTTAGTGGCATGAAAAAGGTACAATGATTTTTAAATAATTGATCCTTTTCCCTTCCTCTTTACTACCCGCTTTTTTTCCATTTAAACTGTAGTCTAGGCCAATAGTTAGCTGAGAATCTGTTGTGCTAGAAAACAAAAGACATTTACTGGTAGCCAGGGATGTAGGTGAAGAAGGGGGTAACTGCTCATTTCAGGGTCTCATTTAGTCAACCCTTCTCCTGACTATAACCCCTTGTGCCACTAGGTAGTTAACATTATGTGATTCAATTCATTCAATTCATCATTAGGACGAACAGAACATTCAATACTTGCCAACTGAGTCCAACTGGATCTTTCCATCTCCCATTTAACATAACCCTTCCCTTATTCTATGAGTTTTTCTTCCTGGCGGTGAGCATATGGATTAAAAGCACAATAACTGTAGACAAACACACCAACTTGCATTAAAACCATGTTCATGTGGCTTTAAATCCACGAATAAATCACAAAAATGTGTTCATCATACAAAAATAGCATTCGTGTAGGATAAAGTTCAATTCAGAAACATTTAAGTGCTGCAGAAGGCTATTGCTGGACCAGAATAGGGAGCAGCAGCTGACAAAGCCGGATGTGAGATAGGGAGTGTGGGAAGGCAGGATTAGGATTCAAATCTATTAATCATATATAGTGAAAAATAGCAATATAGAAATATGGCTATGAGAGATGCATAGATGCACACAGGGCATGCCTGAAAGCTTCTCATGCCGCTTGAACCCTTAGTGTACCTCAACAAAACCCCTTGCAGAAGATTCCTCCACTTATTCAGAAATCTGCTGGCTCACATCCGTCCTGAAATAAAAACCAGAAATGGACTGAAAAATGAAATGCTGCCAGTTTCTTGTCTGGTTGCTAGAAAATACTTCCATGTTTTGCTGAGACGCCGTTCTCAGCTGTGCAACGCGGAGCCGATGCTCTGCTGACACACGGGCACTAGAGACAGCCTGGCAGCTTCGCAGCCGCGCAGGGCTTGGGCAGAGCACCCAGCAAAGGCTCCGAGCGAGAGCCCTCCGAGCGGCGCAGGGCTCCGCGGGGCTGCTGCCCTACTTTGCCGGCCCGGGGGGCCCCAGGAAGCGGCGCCGCTTTCCAGTGGTGGGTGGCTGCGCTGCTCCCATTAGTCACTTTCCTCTTCGCCGTAACGCGAGCCGGCCACAAAGGGCTTTCAGAGAAGGGCCGCGTGTGTCAGCGGCGCTCGCCGCGCGCAGCCCCACTCAGCAGCGCTCGCTCGGGGTCAAAGCTGCCGGTGGTGCCCATCGGCCGGGGCAGGAACGTGAAGGAGCGGGAGCTGGAGGCTGTGGGGCTCCACAGGCAAGCGGGACACCCTGAGAGCCATCCCTGCGCCCCGTCATGGGCAGCAAGGTGCCCACAGCG